TTTGAGATGATTGGATTTTTCTAATCAAAGCAACTTCTACACTTTATTTTTACTTATTTCCATTGTGACGTGGACATTTTTGTTTATTCTGTTTGGAATTGTTTTTGATTTTCTTTTCAAAAAAGTTTTGAAACAAATTATTAGTTTTTAATTGATATAAATTATAATAAATAATTGTTATTATGAATAGTGGGAGAAAAGATATAACAAACTATAATAAATAACAAAGAAAGTACAAAAAATAAAAAATAAAAAGGGTTGATGTAAGAGAATCTTCATTATAAAATAAGAAAAAATATGAAACATTTAAAATATAAAGAAACTTAAAGAAAAAAAAACAAATTAAATAAATTGAGGAGGAATGTCTCGATTGGATAAATTACTTGATTTAATCGAAACTGCTCCAACCCCTGCAGCTCGTAGAGCTGCAGCCCTTCAGTTAGGTGAGATTATTAATTCAAAACCAGAAGAAATTGGGAGATTATTAACACGATTATATCCATATACTATTCATAAAAAATTTGAAACAAGAACTGCAGCTGGAATTGCTGTAGAGGCAATGGCAAAGAATGTTCCTGTAGTAAGATGTGCACCACTAAAAGAACCATGGACTTTTGAAACATTTAATTTAGATGAAATTATGAAAACTCATAAAGTATTATTGGCAATGGATGACAGTAAACAAAAAGCACAGCCTGTAGAAATAGTTTCAAGTAGTAAGTTAAGTACTCGTCAAAAATTAATGATGAAAAGAAAAGCAAAAAAAGCACAAGAAAAGGAAACTGAAGTTATAGAAACAACAGAAAAATTGGATTTTAATTGTGATGGATGGCCATTTGAATTATTTTGTGAGAAAATGATGCAAAACATATTTGATCCTAAATGGGAAATCAGACATGGTGCTGCTATATGTCTAAGAGAAGTTTTAAGAGCACAATCAAATGCAGTAGGAAAAGAATGGAGAATAGATTTAACATTAAAATTATTATCAGTTATTTCATTAGATAGGTTTGGTGATTTTATTTCAGATACAGTAATTGCTCCAGTTCGTGATACTTGTGCTCAAGTTATTGGTATTGCTATTAGAAATTTAGGGGATGAAGTAAGTAAATTTATTAAGATTATTTGTCAAATGTATCATAAAGATGAATGGGAAGTAAAACATGGGGCTTTATTAGTATTAAAATATACAGTTGCTATTGTTGATAAAAAACAAATTCAATCAATTTTTATTATGATTAAACCAATTCTAATTGAAGCTTTAACAGATGTTGGTCATGATGAATCAGTTGCTGTGGCAGCAGAAGTTATGAGAGAATTAGTTGATTTTATGAAATCTGACTTTGAACTTATACAAAAAATACGTTCATTGTTATGGGATGTTTTAGAGGATTTAGATGAATTAACTGCATCAACAAATAACGTTCTTCAGTTATTAGAATGTGTTGATAGAATAGCTGCTGAACAAGCTCCAATTCCAATTACAATATTAATTGATCAATATATTCCTAAATTACTACCATTTTCTGGACATGTATTACCAAGTGTACGAACAGCAGTAATGGAAACTTATCATAGTGTTTTATCTCAAATTCTTTCACAACTAACTGCTGCTTTACCTCATCAACCAAAAATCCCTCCAACAGGAAAGTCACTTGAAAAATTATTTTTTCAATGCTGTGCTGCTGTTGTATCTGAAGCTAATGACTATTTGCCTACAATAGATGATTTATTAAATGAACCTGTTGATAACCCTATCCCACATAATAATCGTCTTCTCCATCACGCTGTAGCTAACGCTGGTTTATTAATTACGATTATTACTCATGCATTCCCAGAAACAATAAATAATATTGTTAAAGAATTACCAAAATTATTACGAGTATTTGAACTAGGTAGTGAAGGTAAAATTGATAAAAAGGTTGTTTCTGTAATTAGTAAAGTAAAACGAGATGCTCCTATTGCAGAACAAAAGGAAAGAATTGATATACTGTTTAATGGAGGAACAATTGTTGCTCGTATTATTGAAGCTGCAAGAAAGGTTGGGAATGATGCTGAAAATTGTGTTCTTCAATCATTAAATTCTCCACAATCAATTATGCTTGCAGCGTTAGCAACTGAATTTGAAGAAACACACTCGCCATTAGTTAGAACAAAATTAGAAGAAATTTATTCTAATTATCAATATGATGATTTTAATTCATTTGATTGGAAGATGATTGTTGAGACATATAAAGAGAATAGTGCTGGATTAAATTTACCTTTAATTAATAATAGTAGAGAACTTCTTCAAATTTTACCTAAATTACGTGAATTAGTTCCTAATAAAATTTCGAAACTTGAACATTCATTAAAAACTTATAATGAAATGGTTCAAGGAGTTATTTGTAGGACAAAGGCAATAGTTATTGGTGCTATTTATCCTTCTGTAAGAGACCCCACTTTATTACATGAACCAATTTTAAGAGAATATTCTCCGTTATTAACTGAACATTTTACTATGTTATTTCATCGTCTGTATCAAAACACAACTGATACACAATCACTAGGATTTTTATTCGCTACATTAATTGACCATCTTAAACCAATGTATTCTAATATCATAGAATTAATTAACAATGAACAAATTACTTTTTATAATCTTACTTTACCATACTCTTTACATTATTTCTTAAAATTCTTAGCACAAAATATTGAATATAAACATTATTTATTATCAATATTAACTCCATTACTTGTAGAACCTCCACCCGATGATCCAACAACATCATTATATTATCCATTATCAATTTCTGTTTTACCATTTCTTCCTACTTGTCCATTACATGTAGATCATATTAAAACATTATTAAAAAATGTTCATTCAAGTCATGCTTTTCTTATTGCAACAACACTTTCTCGTCTATTAAGGTTACATAAAGAGTTATTAACTACATTTATTACATTAATCTATCCACAATTATCAGTTACTTCCCCAACGTTATTAGCTGCATTACATATTTTCCACCACATGTGTTTATCACCTACAATGGCTACATTGTTAATTCCTGTCTTCCCATTACTAATAACTCCATTTTTAGGAGTTATGAATTCAAATCATGAGAGTAATATTAGGAGATTAGGTGCTCAATGCTTTAGTGTAGTACTAAGATATCTTCCACTTCACGTTACTCCACCACCTGATCTTCCTGATAAATTACGTGATGAAATTGAACAGAAAAAGATTTTTATTTCATTCCTTTTTGATGGTATTAGAAGTCAATCTATATCCCAGTTTTCTGTGTTTAATCATCCAATTAATGGAAAATTAAGACCATATCAATTAGATGGTATTTCATGGCTTTTATTCTTACATAAATATTGTATTAATGGAATTTTATGTGATGATATGGGTTTAGGAAAAACATTACAAACACTCTGCTTATTAGTTACTGTTCATAAAGAGGCTGAATATCCAAGTTTGATTGTTTGTCCACCAACATTAACAGGACATTGGAAACATGAAATAGAACAATTTATAAGTCAGTCTGATCTTAAAGGAGTTTTGTATACAGGATCAGTAAAAGAACGGTTTGTTGTTCTAAATTCATTAAGAAAGAAAGATATATTGATAGCTTCATATGAAATGGTTAGACATGACTTAGAACAATTTAAAACAAAGAGATTTACTTATTGTGTATTGGATGAAGGTCATATTATCAAAAATCCTAAAACAAAATTAACACAAGCAGTAAAACAAATTATTTCTTTACATAGGTTAATACTAACTGGTACACCAATTCAAAATAACGTATTAGAGCTTTGGTCATTATTTGATTTCTTAATGCCAGGATTTTTAGGAACAGAAAAAGAATTTAGTGAACGATATTCTAAACCAATTCTTGCTGCGAAAGATGCTGCTTCTCCTGAAGACCAAGAACGAGGAGTTATTGTAATGGAAAAACTACATAGGCAAGTCTTACCATTTATTTTAAGAAGACTTAAAGAAAGTGTACTTCAAGACTTACCGCCTAAAATTATTCAAGACTATTATTGTGATATGAGTCCAGTTCAAAGAATGTTATATCAAGAATTTGAGTCAACAAATGATATGGATGAAATTGTCCAACAAAAATCTGACAAGAAACAAAAAAATCATATTTTCCAAATTTTAAATTATTTCAGAAGATTATGTGTTCATCCAATGTTAGTTCTTGATGATCAACATCCAATGAAACAAAAAGTTGATGCTTATTTAAAACAAGAAGGAAAGACAATAGATGATATTACCAATTCTCCAAAATTAATGGCATTAGCAGAATTATTGGAGATGTGTAATATTGGAAAAGATGGAGAACATAGAGTTCTTATTTTTGCTCAAATGAATATTACATTAGAATTAATAGAAAAACAATTATTTGCTAAACAATTTCCATATATTTCATATTATAGATTAGATGGAAGTGTTCCACAAAATAAAAGAACAGAAATTGTTGATAAATTTAAAAATGATCCTACAATTGATGTTTTATTACTTACTACAAGAGTTGGTGGGTTAGGACTTAATTTAACTGCTGCTGATATTGTTATATTCATGGAACATGACTGGAATCCTACCAAAGATCTACAAGCAATGGACAGAGCACATAGATTAGGACAAAATAAAGTAGTTAATGTTTATCGATTAATTGTAAGACAAACATTAGAAGAAAGAATTATGAATTTACAACAATTTAAAACTAAGATTGCTAATACTGTAGTAACTAGAGAAAATGAAACATTTGCAGGAATGAATGCTGGTAATTTTGTCGAATTATTTAATAAGGAAGGAGAGGAAAAGAAACCAGAAAAGAAACCAGAAAAAGGAATATCATCACTATTAGAATCGTTAGGTGATTGGGATGAAGAAGAATATGGAGATGAATTTGATTTGAATGCATTTGTTGATAAAACAAATCAAAGTTAATAACAATGTTTTTGTAAAAGAATAAATAAATTAATACATTCTTTTTTTAAATAATTTAATGACATTCTATTACGAAGATGAATTGAGCATTAATTTTCCTAGATGTTTGTTGTGAAGAGAATGGATTAATACATGGAGTACATGCATAATTATTTTTAAATCCTTGATGAATACTACAAGTGCCATCTGAAAGAATCCAAAAAGCAGAGAATACAGTTAAAATAAATGGAGAGTTATTTTCATAATATAATGTTAAAGATTTCGTATTATTTTTTTTTCTGTGAATTATTTGTTGAGTATTATTGTTATAAGTAAATAGGAAAAATTTTTCGGTTGTTTCGAGGTTAATATTTCCTTTCTTTTTAAATGGAGGAATTACTTCTTCATTATAAATTCCAAAAATATCAAAATCATTAGTAGCTATAATAACTAAAATTTTACTATGCCCAATAATTTTAGAGTTAAAAGTACGATTATCAAGAGGATCAAACCGACTATCAAATAATATGTCATATGTTTTAATATCAATAATATTAGAAACCATTTCTACTGCTGGAGAAACTGGTTCAAACCTTTCACTTAAATATTCTTCTTCAGTCTCTTCTTGTTCATATCTTGGAGAATGTTTAGGTGTAAGCATTTTTGTTATTTTTGGAGTTATTGACCTATGAGAAAATACCCCCGTGGAACAAAATGATTTTTTATTAGTTCTTGGAGTACGTCCACCATTACTACTGACTGAATAAGATCTCTTACATTTTGGTGTTAATGATGGACTTTCTAATTCTTCAAGTGGAGAAGTAGAATTAGATTCAAAATAATCAAGTGCAATTCCTGTTTTTGAGCATCTTTTTTCATTTGGACTATATAAACATTTTATTGAAGGAATTACTGATCTTCGGTTCATCTTTTTTGGCTTAGGAACAATAATTGTTTCTTTTTCTTTTTCATTATTAGCATCAGTTACAGTTAATGTAAATGAAGAATTAACGTGATTCCAAGTACCAAGACTCCCTGACCTAGAGTTATGATTCTTAATATACCCTTGTTGATTTCCCATTATCTGTATTTTAGTTTGGTTATTCCAAAAAAAAGATCTCCCATTAACTTAATTGTTGTTTAACGACGTTAAAAAAATCAATTGTGAAATAGAATGAAAGAGAAAATGATAATAGTTTAATATTTTTTTCCTTTAACAACTTTTAATTACCGAGAAAATAATAATTCAACGAAAAAATTAAACCAAAAATAGAAAATCAATTATATACATTCAACAGCTAAAAGAGTTGATATATAACTTACTTTATTTATCATTCTTCCTAACATTGGATTTAACATTGGTGATTTCACATAATAATGATTTTTTAATGATGGATGAATATGAACAGTCCTATCTGCTAATATCCAAAATGCAGAGGCAATAGTAAGAACAAAATTTGATTCACATTGAGGGTGAATAGTTAATACTTCTTCCATTTTACTTTTTTTTGTCATTTTTTCTATTGTTGTATAATTATGTGTAAAAAGAAAAAATCCTTCTTTACAAATTGATTTTTGAATACAATGACTTTGAGCTGGGCATATGACATCTGGATGATAACATCCAAAGATAGAACCATCTTCTGTAATAACAATAATTAAGACATTAGAATAACAACATACTTTTGAATTAAAAGCACGTGTTGTTAATCCATCAATTGATGAATTATAAAGAATATTAAATTGATTTGAACAACACCAATTCTCTATATCAGAAAGAATTGAACTTTTATTATCAAACTTAGGAACTTCAAAAGCAGCAGATTTTATTTTTCTTATTGAACAACAATTTCTTGGAGATCCTTGAGGTGTTAAAAATCTTTTTTTAGTCTTTGTACAAGCCCGATAATGGTCAGTGTATTGAGTTTGATAAAACAATGAATTGGAGTTTCTTTCTTCTTCTTCAGAACCTTCAAACACACAAAATGTTTCTTCTTCATTTAAAATGTTAATACGTTTATTAACTTTAGTTTGTTTATTCCCCATATAAACTAAATGAGTTATACAGATTGTATTTAATGACTTTAAATACCCAATTAATTTAGACAATTTTATTTTGAATAACTCTTATTCTTTTTATTGTAATTCAAAAAATAATAAAGAATCTTTTGACAGGCACTTTTTCTGATTATTTCAATTAAATTTTAAATTATTAAAGAATTATTTGATAAAAACTTGACAAAAAGATGTATTTTTTAGTTATTTTACAACAGCCTTTTCGTATACAGAATGATTTGTTGTTTATTTATTATTACAGAGAATAATATTAAATTAAATTGTTATTGTAGACTTTAAATAGATAAAAAAAAACAAATATTAAATTTTAAAAAAGAAATCATGTGTTTGATAGTGTAATACTAATATATTTATATTAACATTCTATCTCTTTTTTTATAAAAATATCTTTATTTAAGATATAAAACTACAATAAAAACATTGAAGAATTAACATTTTCTTTATTCAATTAAACCCTTATTTTCAATATTTCTCCTTTATTTGTTGAGACTAAAAAGTAATCTTCGTAAGGAATAACATAAGTAAATTCTAAGTTGTAACCTTCAGGAACAATAACACTTTCTAAAACTCCCCATTTGTTTGAATTCATTTTTAATAATAATCCTTGTGAAGTTACAAAGAAAAACATATCTGATTTAGCAGAAATAGCTGCTGAAATAATATTATTTGGAATATCCATTTTTTCATATGACATATTTGTTCTATCAATCTTATGAAACATTTCTCTTGAAACAACATAAAGATATTTCCCATTATTCCCAATAAATACACTTTTCACTTCAGTTACTTTGAGTGAAAGAGAAACATCTAAACATTTCATTGTGTCATGAGGACTTGTTTTCTTATTGTATTGAACTAATTGCATAAAGCCTGTTTTGGTTATAACAAAAAATAGAACGTCTTCATCAGCAGAAGTACTTGGTAAAAATACAAACGAATGAATAGGTTCATTTAAACGTGTTGAAAGTGAAATAAGTTCAAACTGCCTATTTGCTCGATAGACTTTTACTAATCCATTAGATGATCCAACTAATACACTATTACAATCAAATGGAAATAATTCTAAACAGGTGAGATATCCATCATTGGCTTGATTTTGTTGACCAAATTGAGAAACTCTCAAAGCAGAACTACATTTATATAACTCACAACAGCTTCCTAATGAAATAACTATATAACTCCCAGTTCGAGTAACAACTCCTCTAACATTATGGAATTGCTTCTCTCCAGAAAAGTCTAGTACTTTTTTATCTTTAGGAAATGATGATACATATGTTTTACCATCAACTTTTTTGAATAAATAGAAAACGTCTTTTATTGTTTGAATCATTAAATGTTTACCTTCATTACTTATAGTGAACATTTTAATATTTCCTTTAACTTTCCAAAAATTAGTTATATCACATTTTGAAATAGTTGAAGGAATAGCAGGTTTTACAGTTTGTTCTGTAAAAATAATTTTATTTTTGATAGGAATATCTTCATCTGGTTTTCTTTTAATTGGTTCAAGTTTTGAGTAAGTAATTGGTGTTACAGGAGCAACTTGAGTTATACAATTAGAAGAAGGAGTTCGTCCATTACACATAACTTCAAATTGAATATTAACTGGTTCTTTAATTATGTCACTATTCCAATTAACTGGAATAACATTAAATTCTCTATAAAATACTCTTAATTGTGTAGAATTATCAAATGTACATACAGCTAAACAATTATCAGCAGACATTTTTTGAATATGTTCACAACTAATTTGTTGCTTAATTTGTTGTGTTTCAATTTCAATAACTTGAATATTTCCTTGTGAATATACAAAAACATTAGTATCATTTCCTGCAAGTATTGGTGCTGAACTTTTTCTTGAATATATTTTTCTTATTTTCTCATTTGGTATAACAATATATCTATTATCATTAGAAATCATTACATTTTCATCAATAACACAATCAACTAAAATACTTAGTTGTTGTTCTTTTGTAACTTTATTTGGTTTTCCTAAACAAGTCTTTAATTTGTGTAATAATGTTGGATATACTACAACCACTTCTCCTTGTACCTGACTTGGTATTACTCCAATAGCTCCTTCATTTTCATAAATAACATTTCTATTAGCAAATTGATATACTTTAACTCCTTTTGAATCAACAACAGCAACTTCAGTTGTTCCATTAATTATTGAAATAGATTTGACATTAGTTGCTGGAATTATTGCAAGTATTGAAAGACAATATCCAATACATATAACTTTTACTTGTGATCCATTATAATAAACAATATATGTTGATAATACAGAAACTAGTGTTACTGGACTATTTTCTTTAATATCAAACAAGACTTCTCCACTTTCAAAATCAATACAAGTAAAGTTTCCTGTTTTAAATCCAATATATACTCTTGTATCTTTAACATATAAACAAGAAATTTCATTTGATTTTAATTGAATATCAATAAATTTCCAATCAGAAAACTTATTTCCCTTCCTTATAACAGTTGATACTTTTTCAAGATGCATATGCTCTGGCTTAATTAAACTAACTAATCCAATTTTATCATCAACGCTACCTTGACATATTTTAATATGGTCATAACGAACACCATTAGATACTAACTTCTTTAATGTCCCTTTCTGAATTTCTGGAAACTTCATGTATTCTTTGATAGTTGAGCCTTTTTCTATTTCATTCATAATACAATTAAATAAATTTGTTATTATATAATTATCATATCCATCATAATTCAATTCATTTTTAGCTATAAGGTCATCATCAAAGAACAAATTAGAGAGTCGAGTGAGATATTGCTTTGTTACAATGGAACTAGGTAATAACTGAATTCTTTTCATAGATTGAACAGCAGCTTTGAAGTCTGCTTGTTTACATGAAATAAAAAAGTTAATTTCTCTAATCAATTTAAGAACCATTTGGTCTTGTTCATTTTGAAGTCTAAAAAAGGTAAGTTAATATATCAAAGAGTTAATAAAGAAAACAAATGAAAAAAGAAAAAAGGGTTGATAAAAAGACAAAGAAAAAAATTTGAAATGTCTTTTGGTTAAGTAATATAAAAAATCTTCTCATATCTTATTTAAAGGATATGGCAAATCAACATATTTCAACAAGAACAAACGAGGTAAATTGAGTTATATATTCATCTAACTTAAAAAGGTCTCTTTGCATAATTAATTGTTTTATATATTCTTGGTCACAATACAATTTTAGTTGAGAGGATATATTAATGAATTCTTTGTCTCGTTTTTCTTCTCTTATATGATCAACAAATAAAAGTTCTAATTCACGTTCAAAATTCACTTTTTTATCCATTTGATTTTTAAGTTTCTCACATAGATCTTAAAATTTAAGATGAATAAAGTCGTGAGAAAGAAAGTATTATTAATGGGAAGAAGTGGTTCAGGGAAAACTTCAATGAGAACAATTTTATTTTCCAATTATTTACGTTTGACATTTTCATTGATAAAAATATATAAATAAAAACTTACAACATAGCAACTCAAACAAGACAACTACAAGTTACAAGTTTGTTTTGTACAAAAAAAAAACAGTGAAGACAAACAACATTAATTAAAAATTTATAGTTGATGTTAATCATTCTCAAATTTCATTTCTTGGGAATTATACATTAAATTTATGGGATTGTGGTGGACAAAAACAATTTATGGACATGTATTTAGGAGCACAAAAATCACAAACATTTAAAAAAGTTGAGGCATTGATTTATGTCTTTGACGTTACAAGTGAAACATTTGATAAAGATATTCAAGAATATAGAGCAGTATTAGAACGATTATATGAATATTCTCCAGATGCTAAATTATTTACTTTAATACATAAAATGGATGTTTTTGAAGAAGATGAAAAGGATTATCAATATTTACAAAAAGAAGGTAAAATTAAATTAGTGTCAAAGCCTTTTAGAGTTGTCAGTTATCCAACTTCAATTTATGATGATACATTATATTCAGCATGGAGTGCAATTACATATAGTCTTATTCCAATGATCACAGAAGTTGAAGATAAATTAAATTCATTTTGTAATTTTATAGAAGCAGATGAAATTGTTGTATATGAAGCAAGTAGTTTATTAGTAATAAGTTATTCTTCAAGAGTAGAATTTGATGAGTCAAGAAGATTTGAAAATATATCAACCAGTATTAAAAGTTTTTATCATAGTTGTACTGACTTAAAGAAAACACAATTTAAAAATATTAGAGTTGAATTACCTGATAAAAAAGTATATTTTGATACATTTACTTCAAGCACTTTTATTATGGTAATATTTTCAAATCCTTGTTTAACTTTTACTAATGTTGCAATGAACGTTAAGGCAATTAGAAATAAATTTGAAGATTTAATTGGTTTCAAAGGAGATGATTATTAATTATTTGTTGAAATTAAATAACTTCTAATTTTAATTTAATAAAAACTTTATTAACAATTGGTTTGTTTGTTTAATTTATCAACTAAAACTTGTGAAACATAACCATTGATACTAAAACTATTCAAACGAAGTTCATGACAATTAACTATTGATCCACAATAATCATTTATATAAAGTTCTTTAAGAGAAGATGGAACAATAAATAATGATGATGATCCACTAATAATTAATGACGTTATAGAAGTGTATTTATCTAAGTGAATTGTTTCTGAACAATTAATGTTCATTAAAATTAATGACTTTAGAGTATTTGGAAGTGATGGTTGTTGTTTTAAGTTTGAAATAACAAGGTTAGTTAAGTAATTTTGGTTTCTTAAATCAACAGGAGAAAAGCTACAATCAATATCTAACACTTCAATATTTAAAGGAGGAAGTTTTTGTGAAATTGTTTTGAGATATTTTAATGAAACAAGGTATTGAGAATCAAACTCAATAGTATTCATGTATGTTAATGAAGTAACTGTACTTAATATTTCTTGGTCATTTAAACCTCCACTAATTCCTAATTCTTTTAGATTTAAAAGAATTGGAAAATGTGGGAGTGTTATAGTTTCTAAAAAAGTTAAGTTTGTAATAAATTCTGAAGGAATAAATTCACAACAACTTAACTTTCTTAGTGATGGTAATTTACATTGAATTGCATTGTATTGAACAACAGTTAAAGCAGTTAAATGAGAAGGGTATTTGAACGTATATTTAGACAAAAGTGTAGCATCAAGTTCTTCAATAAAAGAATATTTTGATAAATCTAAATAAATTGGACAATTTGAAGAGGTAAATCTAATACTATTGGGATAATAATTTTTCATTATTGATTCATTTATTAAGGAAGTAGGTTGTACTGAAATTTTAAGTGGTTGAGAAATACAAATCACAGAACCATCATTAGTACTATTACAAAAAGATGAAATTAATTGAATTTTTGAAGATAATTTTAGTTGAGAAACAACATTATATAATCTATAACTTGTTGATATATCAATTACAACTTTTTCTATATTATAATCATCTATTTCCTTTAAAAAATTAATGTCTATATCCCCTCTATATGATGAATATTCTAATAACTCAATTCGATGTGATTTATCTATAAATAACTGAGATAATGACAGCCATCCTATTGGTCTTAAAACTAATCGTTTTAAAGATGGATATTCTTTTAGACTACTTGGTATTTGTTCATCAATGAAACTGTATTGTCTAATTCGATTTTTTAATTGATTTAAAACATGTTTTGGCAATGGCATGTCTCTTTCTTTAAATTCTAAATACTCAACACTTGATGGAATGAAATCAAATTGATCAAATTCTTTCTCGACAACAAATGTCTGGAGTTGGGGAAAAAGTTTAAATTGTTTAACACCAATATGGTTTACCTGCCATTTTCTTTTAATTTTGTTTTTATCATATTTAAATGAAGGTGACTTATGAACCATATTTAATACGTCAAAACATTTCTTGTTAATATTACTAAACGTTTCTATACTCTTAATATCATTAAAAAATAAGATAATATTAGCTAAGTATATTTCTTCTAATTGAACCATTTTTTTTTAAATATTTAAGATGAAGAAAAAATAATTTTGTTAAATAAAACTCAAATTAAATATTATGAAACAAAAGTCAATAAAAAAAAAGGGAAAATTATGAAACAATACCACGTCAATAACACGTTATATCAACGAAAAGTTTAATCATCAAAATTTGTCATATAAAAATACAATGAATTAAATTAAAAATAAGAAAACAATTAAAAATAAAATACCATAAAAAAGAAGTAAAGAAGAATAAAAAAAAAAAAGCAATAATTACTTATTTAAATGAAATTTCAAATTTTTATATAGTTTGATTAACAGAATATTGAACTGGAATAATTGCACGAGTTTGAGGTTGTTGTGTAGTATTTTCTTGTGCCTCTCCTCTAGCATTTTGAACTTGCCGAATTTTTTGTCTACATCTTTCACATCCATCAGCAATTTCAATTAATTGACAATTAATTCTTAAAACATCATCGTATTGTTTTCTTAATTCATCCAATTGTTGTTGAAGATTTAAAAAAGCTTCTTTACTCTTTTGTCTACTTTTACGAGCACTTTCTTTATTTTTTAATTTTCTTTTAATTTTATTTAAAGTAGCTTTCTCAGATTTAGTAATAGTTCTTCTATCTTTTAATTCATTAACATAATCTTCAAATTCTTCTACAGTCATAGAAGCAAGATCTTCTTCTGACAATAATCTATCATAAGTAATGTTTTGAAATTTTCTTTTTCTTCTATGTAAAGGGGTATAAGTTTGATCTGGATATTGAGTCGTTGGAAATTGAGGTGGTTGTTGTTGTGGAAATTGAACTGACTGTGGAATGTAAGGAGAAAATGAAGGGAAAGGAGAATATGGTGTATTACTAGCAACTGGATTAAATGGTTCAGTAACTTTAACAGGACTAGAAGGAGCTTGTTCAGAATAAGGGCTATTGACTAACGCCATGTTTTGCTCTGGTATTGAGTTATTTGGTTCCATGATTTGGTTATTATTAGTTTTCTTTTCCTTTAATTATAAATAGATCATTTGTGTTTCAAATTTATGTCATTTTTAAGAACCCTTAAAAATAGAAAATTTTCTCTTTTTAGTGTTGTATCATTTTTTAAAGATTTGTCTACTTCAGTTAGTACTTCTGTATTTCTTGGGACTACACGGTCCTGTCGGTCGAAGGTGGTATACTAGTCTTTTATTAATGAACTTAATTTAAAAGTTCAAAACGAACGTCACATCGACTGAACAACACGTGAGAGGAATGTGGCTTTTTAGAAATTGTGTTATTTAATTTATAAAAATGTTATTACCACACAAGAACTTAAAAAGAAAGAAAAAGAAAAAAATAAGTGAAAGAACAAGAAAAGTTTTTTAATAGTAAAAAAAAATCAAAAAAGATAATATTTTAAAAATAGTAATGAAAAATAAAAACAAAATGACAAGATAGAAAAAATAGAATAATCAAATCTTTAAAATCATAAAGGTATGATCAAGTTCTTATTAGTTGTAAACAGACAAGGAAAAGTTCGTTTACATAAATGGTATACCTCTCATTCATTAAAAGAGAGAGAGAGAATTATTCGTGAAGTATCAAATCTTGTTTTAAAAAGAACAACTGCTGTAAGTAATTTTGTTGAATGGAGAGACTCTACTATTGTTTATCGACGGTTTGTTTATTCTTCTATAGACAAGTAAAAAGTTAATTGAAATGTAGTTATGCTAATTTATATTTTATGACATGTATTGATAAAGGGGATAATGAACTTCTTGCACTCGAAACAATTCATCGTTATGTAGTTATATTAGATAAATATTTTGGTAGTGTTAGTGAAATTGATATCATCTTCGATTTTGCCCGAGCGTATGTTGTTCTAGATGAAGTTATAAACGCTGGTGAATTAATAGAAGCTGGTCCTCAGATTGTTTTAAATGAAATTGAACAACAAGATGAACTTCATCGTTCAGACTTAGAAAAACGATAACTATTTTATCTCATTGAATTGGTTTGTATTGCCATTAGTTAGAGCATTGAAATTAAATTCTTTCTTTTAGTCAATGCTTTTTTGGGTTTTTAACAAAAATGAATTTATTTCATTTAATTAATTTTCCTTCAACTTGATAATTTATAACGCTCTCAATTTTTTCTAAAACAAAACCATTAAATTTTGTCACATTTATTTTAATATCCAACGAAACAAAGTAACACCGCATAAAGAATTGCACATACTGATGTTATAATTATAACTTCTTTTGTATTACTTGGTGAAATGGTTTCAACTTGGTTTTGTGGTAAATCACTATTCTCTTCTACTTGGCATTGTTCTGATGGTTTATAATGCTCTAATTCTTTTTTATTATTTTCAAGTATTATTTCTTTAGGAGGTTGGTGTGTAAGTTCATCAATTCCATAAGGATTAATTTTTTGATTTTGATTGATACAAGTTTTTTCATTAGGAGGTTGTAGTGTTGAAACGCTCATTGATTTATAAGATCTATTTTTCTTCAACCTAAAAGACTGAAAAATGTTTTTCATATCAAATAATTATTTCTTTTTTTCTTTGAATGTTCACCTGAAAACGAATATAATATAGTTTAAGACATGACTTTATTACTACTTTGGTTAATCTTGTTAAAGAGGAATAACTAAAGCGAATAAAAACTACCATTCAAAGAACCTTTTTTTCTTTGAGGTTTAAGACGTGTTATTCACTTATTGCTTCAAACACTAACATCTGTTCTACAACAAAATTGTAATTTCCACACAACGCATTTTTAGCTTCACAATACTCAAACCCATTTGCCCCACAGTAACTCTGTTTTTTGGTACCACTTTTCATAACAGCAATATCAGACTTCTCTGGCCAATGAACACTATATCCAAAAGTAAAAAGCCATTCATTCTTACAACTAAACATAACAAATTTTTGGTTGCCATTACATTTAAATCTGGTTGGATCACTAAACCTACCATTTGATTCTAATACAAATACAAACATCGTGTCACTATGAATACAATAATCAAGTTTATCAATAGTCTTATCAATATATCCACCAAAGATATTTTCATTGCCATCAAAAATTATAAAGAATAAATCCTTTTTACCAATAACCAATTGTTCAAGTTTAGACACTTTATTTAGAACAATTTCTTCTGTTAATGAATCATATATAAGTTGAATATCTTTTTTCTGACTCCATTCACATAAAATATTTTTAAATGGTTTAATACGTTCATTGGCAAAACGCGTCATTTTATTTCCTCTCTTTTTACTTATTATTTCTTGAATATTTCTTTTGTTTATTTTTGTAGCAGAATCAATTATGTTTTGATATTTAATATTGATTGATTCTATTTGTTTTTCTATGTCTTCTATATCAGTTTCTTTTTCTCCTTCTACTTCTTTTTCTTCATATGTGATTTGTTTCTTTTTTTCTTCAAGTTCCTTTGGATTGTTTTCTATGTTTATTTCTTCATTTCTATGTTTATTTCTCATTTTACTAATTTCATCTTGTCGTTCTTTGTCAATTTTAGCAACTATATTTTCATATTTGGTTATTTCCATTTTCTCAATTCTGTAGATAAGGTAATTGTACCATCTTTCCGTTTCTTGGCTTATTTGTGTTGAGTCATACACCTGTTTTAAACCTCCCTGAATGAATTTGATAACATTCATTAATTCAAGCACATTACTAACTATAACCTGGCGTTTAAGAAAAAGTTCCTCTGCTCGATCAAACATTGTTTCTATCCACTTATCATCTTCATTCCATCCTTTTTTGGTGTCAATGAATGATTGGTCGACTATCTTGAAATTATAAATTGATTTTGAAAGACTTTTCATTAAATCATTCACCTTTGAACAACTTTTTTTGAGAGATTCAATTTGTTCTTCAAGAGAAAAAGACATAGAATAAAATTTAAATGACTCTTATCTAAAAAAGTTAAAAAAAGAATTTTTAACAAGCTTTTATGATAAATTGGATTTTTTTCATTTATATTGTAAAAATCCTTTTTTTATTTTTTTTTATAATTTTTTATAATTATCCAATAAATGATTGTAATTTCACATCAATCTGTTTCAAAATAACTCGAATTTATGAGTAATTTTATTTCAATATTCTTTATGAACATATCTACCACTAATTCTCATCAAGTATGAGTCAATGTGACTATGCTAATAATAGATTCTGGTTAATGGAAAAATAGAATTACTTCTTATGGTTCATGTAAAGTATTACTTTGATAACAATAAATATTGTGTTTTGTTTTATGGATTGTTAAAGAATAAAATTATTATTTATTTAAATAATTGAAAGTCATAGCTTCCATTTTCTGTAAAGGAGGATATTCTTGAACAAATACCTTATTTTATCAAAAAGTTAGTATTTGATAAGGCATTACTTTTTATTGGAGAAGGGTTTATTCTTTTAAATTCAGAAATGATATAGTCTAACTAGAAAAAAGGTATGAGACAATAACTGTAGAAAATTTCAACAGAAACAAAGAACCATCCACAACAAGATTATATTTTATTTATCTTTTTTTAGAAGCGTTGAGAGCAAGTTTTTTCTTAGAATGACAAAATTCAGTTTTTAAAACAGTAAAATAACATACATTATATCCATTTTACCTAACTGAATTAAATGCTTATTTCTATTTGACTTAACAACTAATTTCAAGTGGAATATTTTGAAAACAAAGAGAGATGTAAGAATCAGAACAAAATATAAATAAAATAAGATGAAAAATGAATAACAATTAATTATTACTTTAACAAAGTTCAGATAATTTTTGAGCTACAATAGTTGATTTACGTTTCGCCAAATGGATTAACTGAGGGTGTGTTTGAACTAATGACTCTAATGCTTTCATAGCACCAACTTGATGATATTCACCAAATGAGCGTTCTATTAAAACCCTTAATATAATTTCGTTTAAATTTTCAATATTCGAAGAAATTAATTTTGAAATAAAGTCTTTCATCATTTGAGTTGTTTCTGTTTGAAGCCTCATTAAATCAACAACCGCATTGATAATTTCTATTTGTTGAGACTCTGAACATAATTTTAAAAGATCTTCTAAAAGGTTTAGTGACTTTTTTGTTAATAGTCCAACAACAATAGGGAGTGCTGAAGGTGTTTTGATGAATGGTATCATTGAAGCAACATCACCTTTATTTAACACTTCTTGTATTTCAAGAGGAATCTTTTTTATAATAGTTTCAAAGTGGTCAGAATAGTTATCGTCATGAGAAACAACAGTTAATATTGGAAGTCTTAGAGATACTGCAGTGTAAGGAATAGCAGATACTAATGATAAAGCAAAAAATGATAAGAATGTTGGAAAACATTCTCTTAATGTAAGGATTGATACGAGTGTTGCTGAGTATATTTGTTGACTAATAGAAACTTTTAAAGTTAATATTGGTTGAACAAATTGTAAATATTTCATAAATAAGTCAAAGTACATAAACAAGACTCTATTCTTTTTTTCAGAAGGTTTAGAAAGACTGAGCAATAAACTTCTATGAGAGAATAGTTCAATCCATTGACAAGTAAATTTTGGGAATTGGTTTGGATGTAATCTTTGGAAGAAAGTCATAAAATGGTTCATTAATAAGACAGTGTCAATGATATTTAATGATTTTTCAATAAGCATTTCTATTAATGAAGAAAGTATTGTTGCATAAATCTCTGGGTTAAATGAAGAAATATTATAATTCTTTTCAAAGGTAGTACAAACCTCATTAAAGATTTCAGAAAGTAATTCATTACAACGGTTTGGTTGCTTTTTATTATTAATAAAAATAATTCCAATAATTTCCATTGTTCGAATACAATAATCTTTACTTCCTTTATTTATACATTGTACAATAAGTTTACTAACAGTTTTTTCTGTACATTCAGGTGTTAATAATTGAACGTATTTTTCAATTGTATCAAGACGAAGTGGTTGATGAACAAAACTAACTAATTTATCATCTAAATGTTGTTTTGTTTCATTTGTCACTCCTATAGCATATGTTTCCATTTGATAATTAGTAACACCACCATATGCAATTTGAAGTTTAGGAGGTAATTGAGGTGCATCATTCAGGTATTCAAATCCTTTAGCAACAAACTTATTATTATTATTAGATATAGCAGCTTGTCGTTCAGGAGTTATTTGAAGAATGAATTGTTCAAGTTGTCGTTTAGCACTTTTTTTAAGTTCTTCTAATTTAATAGAAACAGCCTTTTCTATTTGGGGTTGAAGACTATTCATAACAATTTCTTTTATTTGTTCAATAGGTTTAGAAATATCTTTTTGTTTAATAGCAATATTAACATAAGGAATAATATATTTCCAAAGTTTAGTATCTAAACAACTTCTACAAGTATATTGTGATAATTTTTGAGCAATGTTAAATACACGATTCGTAGCTTCTGTGATTTTACTAATATCAGTTTCCATTGCAAAATCTTTTTGAACTAATTGAATAACAGTTGTTATAATAGCATTCATACTTACAGTAGTTGTTTTGCTTATATCTTGTAATGAAAAATCAAGGAAACACAGAATAATAATATACCATTGATCTAAAGATAAAGATGGACATATCAAATACTCAGGCAATTGAATATCAGGAATAGACTTAAGAGATTTAACATAACATAATGACTTTTCTGATAATAACACTTGCTTAAGAGTCTTTTCAGGAATTAATTGTTTATTTTCTACAAATTCATAAAAAATACCTTCATCCCCATTGTTTCTTTCTTTAGCAAATTTACGTAGTTTATCAATTGAGTCTTCAGCAGAAGAACGTAATGGATGACATTCGAGATAATCTTTAGCAGAAATATGAAGTAGTTGAAGTAATTTTTCTATCGAACTATGGTGAGTTATAAGTTCAGGAGATAAAGAAACTTCACATACTACTTGAAGTAATGGAACAATCCAAGGATTATTTGGAGTAAATATATCAGATTTGTTAGAAGAGAATAAGAAGTGAACAACAAATTCTAACATAACATCAAAATTTTCAACTGTTAATTGATCTGTTAATAATGATTTAGGAACTAGTTTATTTGACCTTAATGGTTTATTCATTCCAATAGTGAGAAGACCTAATAATGAACCTAATGATTCAAATAAAGAAGCAGTTTGTTTATCATATTCTCTTCGTTTTAATAACATATTAATCATTTCAACTGTAAATAAATTTAGTTTATCCAAAGAAAACCCAAATGATTGTATAGTATCAATACATTTTGATTGTGTTGATTCTCTTATAATAGCAACCATAAATAATGATGTTTCAATCATTTCAGTCATTTGTGCTGGCTTAAAAGTATTAAACACATTTTCAGATTCTTTCTTAATTTGTTCTATACTCATAGATGATATATCCTCAAAACATCCACATAAAGTCCTAATAACTGAAACACTTTTTGAGTCTAATACTATTTGAGGATAAACACGAGGGTATAATTTTTGAATAAGAGCTAATACAATTGCAAATTTACTATTTGCATTTTCACAGATAGTTCTATATAATTGAGGGTCTTGAGTTTCAATACTCTTAAGTTCTTTTAATAAATAACAATATGTTGGCCATTCATGTAAACGATTCTTGAATCTACTAAGTGCAGTTAATCCACATGTAAAGAAATTACTTGAAATAGGTTCTCTGAGTGCCCATAGAATAACTCTTAAAATATGAATTAAAGCACAATTCTTTAGTACACCCTTAGAAATTATTTCTCCATATAAATTCCCAAATTGAACAACAACATCAACTTTAAGAAAATCACTAATTCTTTTAAACTCATCAAATAATGTTTTAATAAAGAAAGCAAATAAATCATTATCCGATGTGTCATTACTGTCACGCATCTTAATAATTACATTAACAATTGCTTCTACCGTATAATTTCCTTTGAAATAATCTCCAAAAATTTCATTTGCTCTTCCTGGAATTGTCTCTTTCTTTGGTGTTTTAGTATAAAATTGTTGTTCTAATTCATTTGCTTCTTTTCTAGACCCACACGAAGAAGCAGTAACTAATAATTGTTTCACTACTTCTAAATCCAATTTAAATGGAGAAACTCCAGTAGCCAATAATTGTTTGTCTTTAATGAATTGAATAATTTCTTTACCAAAAATATTTCCTCTTAATTTTCTTTGTTCAATCAACCATTTGTCTAAAATAAATCCATCTTTTTTAACTAATAAACATGCAATATCAAGTGCAAATGATGTTGGTTTCATTTGAGTAAGAACTTTAGAACATTCCTGAATTCCAATAGAATTAATTATATCATCAATGGAAGATGCATCTTCCATGTATCTGTCTCTGAGTCCTTGAGCAATAATAAGAGAATTATTCTTCCATAATGATTGAACAATAGAATATTGTTTTGTATTATTTCTTAATAATGCTAATACTGCAC